TGAACCTGTGCGAAGACTCTTTTCGGGGTGTTGGCTGGGGTTACTTTCTGCACGGGGCACTAAGCCTGAAAAGCACACATTAATTATAAATAAATCATAATAGTGCTGACAGGCTGGTGTCAATTAATTGTATAATTCTGGTTATTAAATGGGGCAGAAGCTAAAGGAGGCTTATATATTAACAGATTGCACTTTTTTTATACAAAATATTACAGGCCTTTTCAAATAGTTGACATAATAGTGTTGTATTCATACTTCTAAACGCTATTTGATTCGGCTACTGTCGCATTTACATGTCGATCTTTGAGAATCGCCTCATTTCATGAATGTGGCTCGACGAAATTGACCTCCTGAACACATAATATGGCACTGGAAGCACTAATTCTAGTGTGGAAGCAGCAGTGGGCGGTCCTCCTCGAGCATCACCACATCTGGTAGCCGTAAATCCGCCCAAAACCGGCTCTCGTTACGCCTACCTGCGCTGCCAACATCTGCTGCAGGTAGTCAATTGATTTCCGACGGTCACAGAGTTCCTTCACGATGTCAAGAAAGAGGTGGAGACGTGCACCAAACATTCTCTCCTTTCTCTTTTTTTTTTTTTTACAACTCTAATAGTCGTTTACAGGGATAGAGTTAGAGGAAATAGATTCCTGCTTTGGTACTTTAGGGTAAAGTTAGCTTTACAAGCCACGTGTTGCGTAGTGAAACGAAATCGGCTTCCTAAAGTTAAACCTGGGCCCTAAAAACCGGGGAATGTCAAACACGTCAGCCTGATATCCGACGGAGTTCGTTAGTGTGTTTTGAATCGGTAGCTTTGTCGTGAAATCTGGGACATTTCTTTGACAAAACCTACATTTAATGAGGATCGAGGGGGAGAGGCAATGAAAACGGCTGGAGATATTTTACACGGGAAGAAGAGTCAGGAGGAGGGTAATAGAGGCCAAGCATGCAGAGGTGTCTGGCATTCGGGGCAGGAGCCGACTCGTTGGGCTCACGATGGGAGTGACGGACCGGGGGGGGGGGGGGGGGGGGTTTGGAAAGCGGGGTGAAAGGCTAACCGGATGGCAGTGGAAAGGTTTTTGGTCTTTGCATGGTCTTGATTAAACCCCTTGAGCCACATGGAAGGTTATAGGCAACAAAAAAAAGAAGAGTGACATCAAAGCTGAATGTTTTACGCAGCTCATTTTGCAGAGTAAGCACTTTACAGGCTCCCCTCTCTTTGATGTATAATACCTGACACACTGGAGCTCCAGCCAGAAGTGCCAAATCCACTGGAGTTCATGGAGAAAAACCCTGAAACGTAGCTCGTACTTTAACAAGAAATATCCTCTGAAACTGCAAGATATCTACCTTTTATCTTATAAAAAGGCCAAAAATTCTTGCGAAGAACCTTAAAGAAGAAAGAAAGTGATCAGCTGGAAACATTTCAACAAGCTGCAGCTATAAAAGAAAACTGCCTCCAGGCTCTTTTAAAGACCGGGTGTACACCGAAGTCAAGCCCACACCCTCTTAACCACACACACACACACATACACACACACACACAAACTTTTCGAACCTTTTATGGGGTCAGAGGCAAATGACAGGGGGTGCGGATACACACCGAAAAGCAGGGGAAGAAGACGGGAGAGGGGCCGAGAAAGAGACAGATACAGAGACCAATTTAGCTTTGCCTCAAAGAATGAAGGCTCCTCTGGATTCTCCATAACCATCCCTCCCGCACTGATTACTACCTTGGCTTTGCTCACAAATGACCGCCTGCCTGCAGCAAGCTGAAGTTTGACTCCGCTTTCAGAGTTGAGGGAAAAGTTGCATCAGATTTGACGGGAGGAAATATGGGTCCGTCATGTCCATATGTGAACCATCTGTCACCTCTTGAAGACAAAATTAAAAAAAATCTCTTTGGAATGAAGTACACAGCAGATGTTAGAGTGCTCTTACAAGATATGTGCGTACTGTATAAGGCGAATATGCCCATGAAGCTCTTTTTTTTTTTTTTTAGAGTGAAGCTGCAACGGCTGTCTGATTACGAGAATAGAAATGTTTGAACAGCCATACCAAGCAAGTAAATAATTTCTCTCATGGGAGGTCCCTGGTTTAAAAGTAAGAAATTCAAGGAGCTGAAGGGAGGACAAACCAGCAGTCAGACCGTCAGACGTTTCCTACATCGTTGGTCTCATTGTAGGTTTCATCGTGTGAAAACAAATAATACACCCCTACTGGAGAAGGTCCTGAAGGGATTTTTGAGGTGTGAAGTCGGCTCATCCTTCTGATGAAACAGTTTGAGTCGCCACTCTGTGTACCCAAAAAACCCAGTCTGTTGCCACTCCTCATCCAGATTGACTAGTTCAGGCAAATATGATCAGCATTTTTAATACTACGATTCGTTTAAAAATGAAAGAAAGTGCTTAATTGATAAAAATGAGTAGTCAAACAGCTGTCGGTCGGGACGAGCCATCAAGGATTCTAATTAATTTCCAAAGAATCCTGTCAATAACACTTTGAATAATACTTCAGTAATGTATCCCTCGTACTGTTTGTACATTTCTGCACGCTCTGAATGAGGTTTGACCAACAAATAAAGCCTCTGAATTAGCTGCTTAGTGGTAATCTGTGGAGAAATGCAAACCAGATCTGTTCATCGTGCATTGGACATAGTTTCAAATGCATTTCATACTTTGCATTTTCCCCCCACTGAATTAGACTATCTTTTCAAAGGAAAGGATAGTAGTAAGTAAGTAAAGAAACAAAACAAACAAAATGTGCAGCTTTAAGGATCAGTTTCTACAATTTAACTCAAGTCTTTTTTGGACATGTCAGAACTGGGTAGGTTTTCTTTCTAAGTGAATCAGCAAATGATTCAGTGTGCGCAAAGTCATTTTGGTAATTTCTCAAGAAGCGTTGCAAAACCATGTGTCGCCAACTTCTCAGATGTGACAATTTGCCCCTTTTTTCTTTGTAAATCGGACAGAATCGATGCAAACCGATTATTTCACCATAGCCTCTTAGGAACACATTCTTTGGTTAACACTAAAACACTTCGGTGTAGAACATTTCATTAGCATAGTGGGTTAGAAATATTTGGGTGTTCATTGCATGTTTGTTTTTGTAGCTTGAAAACAACTTTCTAAATGAGTGAACATTCAGCATTAGCAGGCAAAGCCGATAAACTCTCTCAGAAGACAACATGGACAGGAACTTACAGCCAGTCGTTGACATTCGGGGTGCAGAGGTGCTTCTTTTTTGGAAAAGTCTTTTTTACTTTTAGAATCCTGTGTGCAGTCTCTGTCTGTTCGTAATAGTCTTTAAGATGAGTAAAGAGGTGTAAGGGATCTGTATCTCTGCTAACAGAAAAACATACCTTTCTGAGGTGACCTCATCGGGGATCCAAGCTTGTCCATTTCATCTATCAATGTCCTCACATTTCCCATGATGATCCATTGTTTAATCGTCTTTGAATTTTTCTTCTCCATTGTGTTCCTGCTCTGACACTAACGCATCTCCTCAGCAGCTTTTGATTTGATGTCTTTTTCCAGGCTTTATTTGGACCTCGGGAGTAATCCGACAACTTTCTGGTTATGGATAAATTGCTGACTCTTACATTCATTGAGGTGACATTCATTGCAATTTCTTGCACGTCTTTAAAATGTTTTGACTTCCATCCAGAAAATCAGATCAGGATTTTCAGTGGCCTGCACGCCACGCTTAGGGTTTATACACACCAAACCGGATGACCGAAACAAAAAGCCTTGGTTTGACAGCTGTGTGTGTGTGTGTAAATGTCAGCGCGTCAGCACTGAGAACAACCTGAAGATCCGGCACCACACCTGCAGCAGCAATCCTGCCAGATTTATTACTATACGCAGGTGTGTTTCTTCACAGGAGGCCAAACACTGACATAGAGACAGATCCCGAGAGCCTGGTCCGGCTGAAACCTGCAAAACGGCGAAAGACGCCATCCGCCACAGTGAACTTTGACTGGCAACAAAATAAGGCAGGTTGCCACGCTTTATTTGTTATTCCCGGATTGAAACGAGACCGCTGGACAGGACAGCTACGGCTACAAACGTGCGAGCACACTGACCCATTCAGACGGAGACGGCACGAGGTCACCGGCGAGCAGGATGCCCTGCCCCAACGGAGAACAGGCTCTGCACTGTGAGCACATGGAGCAAGCTGTTTACACTCGGGGCGCTCTGGGTGTGCCAGTGAATGGAGAGACTCTATCCGGAGCCTGCGCCGGGCTGCAAAAGCCCCTGCCGAGCAGGCCGGTTAAAGTGCTGGATTACAGCTGGCGTGAGAGACACCAGTCTGTTTTCTTTCCTTCTTCTTCTGCTCTGCCAGTACGTTGCGCGTTATGTAAGCAAACGCATACTTGGAGAGTCCTGAAGCAGGGGCTGAGCAAATACTCTCCTTTCCCCTGCAACGCACAAGTGCAGCGAGTTCAACGCGCTGGGGAACAAGCCAGAACTTTTGAAAGTTTGAACATGGGCGTGCAGTGGAATTTAAATTAAAGGCCGTCTCCTTTTCTTTCTGACAGACGCACGTCCCTCTTTCACCGCTAAAAGATGTGCACACTTCTTTTAGCAGCCCCAGCCATTCTGAGGTGAGAACGCACGCTCCCCATGTCATTAAAAAAAATCTTTTCCGTGGGTTTTACAGTTTTTATACCTATCAATACGATCACTCGGGGTCACTTAAGGCCGACTTAAGTGATTTTAAGACACCTCGCGTCTCTTTTGGGGATCTGTCAGTTATCAGCCGGTTTTTGCTCTGTTAATAATGTTCCTTATTTGAGTTTCAGTGTCTGTGAGTGAGTCTGTGTTGTTGTTTTACACCTCCTTGCAATATTCAGCTGACCTTTCAGCAGCGAGCGGGGACTTCGATCTACGCACAGCAGGTCGCTTTTCCTATTCCCTGCATGGCACAGCTCGGCTCCTCCGGAGAGCTTTTTTAATATTTCATGGTAGACAACTCCTCACAACTGGCGCTTCGCATAATCACGGATTCTGATGGAAGGTAAATGGCAAAAGGTAACAATGAAAACACCTCTGCTCCGCTGGCACCAGTCCTCATTTTCTAAGGAAAGATATTGTTTGGGATTCTCCTCACAAAAATCCAACAGGACAGGCCATGAAATATGGTCAGAATATTAATTGCAGATTTACAAATGGATCTGTTTCGCACCATCTTGTTAAACTTGCTTCACATTATCATACAAGGCTGTTGAAAGAAAAGTTGAAGTAAAATATGAGCCGATGCTCTAGAAGAAAGTCTGACAAATGAACATGGTTTTCATGTGTGTCGGTGTCGTGTTCAAGAAGTTTGTCATTCCACATCTGCTTTCCTGTCAATTTAATTTAACAAAACCTTTTAACAAGCGTGGGTAACAACTCTCTCACAATCTGTTCCTCGGAAAACTCTGTGGCGTTCACGGTCCGCCAGTTCTTAGTGCTTACTTTCCACGAGTGGCAGAATCCTCTTTTCACGTATGACGCAGCAACCGCCTGCTTCACTTTCTGTGCTCCGATAGCCTTCGCTTTCCCAAACTCACCACTCAAAGGGCCAAAAAAAGGCTTACACAGACAAGAAAAAAAAATTTGCATTGTCTGTTAGGATTAAAAAAGTTTGAACGTCATCAAACTGCAGAATAAGGTGCGTAATTGCAGGGCTTAAAGTGGTTTAAGCTGCACTCGCGTGGTGAGAAACTTTGCATGTATATTTTAGGTTCCGGGTTTAACAAAGTAAATCAACGAGAGAGCTCCCTAAAATGTCACCTTTCTCTTTGAAAACGTTCAAACCAACCTCTAAAAGTGCTTAAATACAGGTTTTGGTGAATTTCAATCACTTAATCCAATAAAAAAGACACTGGGATTGGATCAAAGAGAAGATCCAGCAATATCTGCTGGTTTCCTAAATTTACTGGTTCTGTGTGAATTGGACGCACTGTATGTGAAACTCTATGAACTTGAATTGGATTTTTGACTGTATCACAATCAACTGGTATCAAACCGTCTTGAACTGGACTTTCTTGAGATTTAGCCAACATGAAAAAAATTGAGCTGGCTTGAACTTCACCTCTAAAAAGAAAAATTTGCTGAATCAACCCTCTGCTCCACCAGACTCCTGAAACAGAGGCCAAACGAGTCCCGCAGCCCAGCCTTACGATGTCCATTGTTGCTTTAAAGCGGCGGCAAATTAGCGTCTCACACGAGTTGACATAAATAAAGAAACCCTGCCTCCATGATGCTGAAACCTGAGGAACCTGATTACAATTGAGGCTTTCGTCCGATGGAGGTGGAAGTAGTCTGGAGAGGGCTGATGAGGGAAGCAGCCGCTGAGATCAAAGGTCCCACACATGCTGCTGATGGTTTGGGTTCACACTGCTGTGAGGAATCCCGTGAGCTAACTGCCAGCCCCCCCCACCCCTCACCACCACCCCAGAAGAGAGCCAAGGCAAGGAGACAGGAACAAAGAATCCAGTCTGCTGGATTCAAGCTGCCTGAAGTCCAAACACTACAGTCTTGTTGGTTTCCACATTTCACACATCCCCCATTCACGCACACACACACACCAACACATACATACTGTTTCGAATTGGCTTTCTAAGTAGAATATTGACACAATTGCTTCTTCACACAACCTGGTCTACGTGTACTAATGCAGTAGACTAATCCGCCACTTTTCAAACGTCCAACAGAAGAACTGAGC